TAGGAAAAGGTCGGGGATGCTAGGGGTATAAACCAAAGATTCTGGTCTCGCTTAGGGTGTTCATGACAAAACACCACTATTTTAAGGATCTTTTAGGCTGCACTTGAAGAGTTATCAAATGAAAAAGACGCTCTTATTTCTGATAGGCTTGATTTCCGCCAGTCTCTTGACCCTGGTTAACTAACTGTTATATTTCTTAATTAATGTAATTAGACATTAATATAAGGGGGGGGGGGGAGGTTGGTAGGGTGGAATCTTATCCTATCCAAAGACAAATCCCTTATAGCATTCAGTCAAGGTGACTGGAACATGGTCCAACATTGAGAGATTGTAAACAAAGTCATATGATGAGCACAAATTAGAAATACATCTGCATTGTTACCTTTTTGGGATCATGTGTACTACAGGCATCCATGGTCAAGTGTCAATCAATACCCTTGATTGACACTTGACTGGCATCGCAATTGACACTCAATCAACATCTCGATCAATACTCAGTCAACATTAGAAAGACAATCGATTAGCATTCGATTGACAGTTCAATTTAGGGCCTGTTTACAAGGAGGGAGGGTTACGCTAGCAAGCAGGTTACCCTAGCACTCAAACATTTCCTCTTGTTTTCTTCGTCGTGTTTACAAGGCAGCTAGGGTTACCCGGGTAGGCAGGTTACCCTATGTGCGCGCTAGGGTTACCCTGGCAGGGGGTTATCGTTTTCCCTTGTAAACACTCCATGTAGGGTTAACCCGCCTACCCAGGTTAACTTTCTATTGTTTCCAGACCCTTTGAGTGTAACCGCGCATTAATTTGTCACGGGTTGAAGGGTTACCCTACCTGTGAAATTTTGCTTGTAAACCCTGGCTATCTTTTGCCCTCCAGCTAGGGTTAACCCTCTTGCTAGGGTAACCCTCCCTTCTTGTGAACAGGCCCTTAGTAAGCCAAGCGCTGAATGACTCATACCTATATTGATCAACACTTGATGGCATGTCTGTGAAGATTACTGGATGACCGACTGTCGACTGTCGACTGAGCTGTCGATCGAGTGTTAACTGAGTATCGATCAAGATGTTGATCTAGTGTCGAACAAGACGTCGATTGAGTGACAATCGAGGATCGCTACGGATGCCTTTAGTACACATGATCCTATTTTTGTAACTTCACCTACCTGGTTCTCATCACCCTCTGGTGTATCTTCACTCTCTTCCTCCTGATTGTCTTGTTCTTTTTCCTGTTCCTTGCGGGGTTTTCTATCCCATGTTGTAACCTCGGGGTAATTAGTCCTACGATCAACGATTATGTCGTAAACGAGCTTCGAAATTCCCAAAGCCACCGCAAAATCTGTCAGAATAGTCTTATTAGAGCGCTTTTTGCATTTTGAATACACATCAATCAGGGCTTTAGCATGCTCAAGTATCATCGATGTCATCAGATTATCACTCTCCAATGCGTCTTTCAAAGCGTGATAATGTTTCATGGTGGCTTTCAGTCGGGGTTCGATTTCCGGACGTTTTTCGGTGAACGAAGTTAGTAACAAAGTTGATTCGATATCAACATCTTGCGCCGTGTCTTCCTCCTTTTGAGAAGCAGGCAAAGCCACCGTTTCAACTTTATTTACATTGGAGTTATTCAACAGAGATTTATCCGTCAAGCCTCCGTTTCGAGATTCAGAATTTTTTGAAGATTTTTCTCTGTGTGCCTCTTTACTTTCTGTCATGGAAGTCGCGTTCTTAATCGTTGCGTGATTATCGTTGGATCTTCCACTGACTGCCACTGTCTGCACAGTCCTTTTTGAGCTACCGCTTCCCATCAGTCAAGAGGATGATAGCTTAACAGTATGTATTATACAGCAATTTTGGTTATGGTGGCTCCCATCTCCATTCGAATAGATCGTAACAGACCTGTACAACGAGCTGTTTACAGACGCCATATTGTTTGGACCCTCACCCTGCGCAACTGAGCAACAGCACCATTCTCGTCCCCAGTGCTGCTCGTTTTAAAACTGGGGGTAAGATTCAGACTGCAGACCATACCAATCACGCATCCCGCTGCATTTTTCTTTTAAATCACGCACCACGGAGAATTTTTTCACCAATCACGCGTCAGGTAAAAAGAAGTAAGTACATCGCCAATTTTACTTTCTCGACCCTAAAAGCGTCATTAATTAAAAGAAGAACTTTGCCGATTCAACCCCAAAATGCATCTGCAAATATGTGACCTCTCACGCGAAAACGTTCCTTACGGTACCCTTTCCAACGGCTGAATGCACGGTAAGTGAACTAGCCTGCGAACGAGGGCGGAAAAAGATAATCCGGCGAGCGAAGCGAGCTGTTAAACGCGAACATATGGGCAGCCGTTACCACCAAAAATACAAACGATACAAACAGTCTAGAATAAACAGAATTGGTTTGAATATCCTTTGTTAATTAGTACAGTTTACATGGAAATGATGTAGCTAAAATGCATACATATATTTAGGGGATTCTTCCTCAACCACCCTCACAGCCTACATTTCATTAATGCCCTACATATACCTACACAGCGTACATCTCATTAATCCCGCACTTATCCCTAAATATCCCCCCAATATCCCCTCACAGCCTACATTTCATTAATGCCCTACATATACCTACACAGCGTACATCTCATTAATCCCGCACTTATACCTACACAGCCTACATCTCATTATTCCCCCTCCTATACCTACACAGCATGCATTCTTCATGCAGTATTCTTCCTCAACCACCCCCCTAAATATCCCCCCAATATCCCCTCACAGCCTACATTTCATTAATGCCCTACATATACCTACACAGCGTACATCTCATTAATCCCGCACTTATACCTACACAGCCTACATCTCATTATTCCCCCTCCTATACCTACACAGCATGCATTCTTCATGCAGTATTCTTCCTCAACCACCCCCCTAAATATCCCCCCAATATCCCCTCACAGCCTACATTTCATTAATGCCCTACATATACCTACACAGCGTACATCTCATTAATCCCGCACTTATACCTACACAGCCTACATCTCATTATTCCCCCTCCTATACCTACACAGCATGCATTCTTCATGCAGTATTCTTCCTCAACCACCCCCCTAAATATCCCCCCAATATCCCCTCACAGCCTACATTTCATTAATGCCCTACATATACCTACACAGCGTACATCTCATTAATCCCGCACTTATACCTACACAGCCTACATCTCATTATTCCCCCTCCTATACCTACACAGCATGCATTCTTCATGCAGTATTCTTCCTCAACCACCCCCCTAAATATCCCCCCAATATCCCCTCACAGCCTACATTTCATTAATGCCCTACATATACCTACACAGCGTACATCTCATTAATCCCGCACTTATACCTACACAGCCTACATCTCATTATTCCCCCTCCTATACCTACACAGCATGCATTCTTCATGCAGTATTCTTCCTCAACCACCCCCCTAAATATCCCCCCAATATCCCCTCACAGCCTACATTTCATTAATGCCCTACATATACCTACACAGCGTACATCTCATTAATCCCGCACTTATACCTACACAGCCTACATCTCATTATTCCCCCTCCTATACCTACACAGCATGCATTCTTCATGCAGTATTCTTCCTCAACCACCCCCCTAAATATCCCCCCAATATCCCCTCACAGCCTACATTTCATTAATGCCCTACATATACCTACACAGCGTACATCTCATTAATCCCGCACTTATACCTACACAGCCTACATCTCATTATTCCCCCTCCTATACCTACACAGCATGCATTCTTCATGCAGTATTCTTCCTCAACCACCCCCCTAAATATCCCCCCAATATCCCCTCACAGCCTACATTTCATTAATGCCCTACATATACCTACACAGCGTACATCTCATTAATCCCGCACTTATACCTACACAGCCTACATCTCATTATTCCCCCTCCTATACCTACACAGCATGCATTCTTCATGCAGTATTCTTCCTCAACCACCCCCCTAAATATCCCCCCAATATCCCCTCACAGCCTACATTTCATTAATGCCCTACATATACCTACACAGCGTACATCTCATTAATCCCGCACTTATACCTACACAGCCTACATCTCATTATTCCCCCTCCTATACCTACACAGCATGCATTCTTCATGCAGTATTCTTCCTCAACCACCCCCCTAAATATCCCCCCAATATCCCCTCACAGCCTACATTTCATTAATGCCCTACATATACCTACACAGCGTACATCTCATTAATCCCGCACTTATACCTACACAGCCTACATCTCATTATTCCCCCTCCTATACCTACACAGCATGCATTCTTCATGCAGTATTCTTCCTCAACCACCCCCCTAAATATCCCCCCAATATCCCCTCACAGCCTACATTTCATTAATGCCCTACATATACCTACACAGCGTACATCTCATTAATCCCGCACTTATACCTACACAGCCTACATCTCATTATTCCCCCTCCTATACCTACACAGCATGCATTCTTCATGCAGTATTCTTCCTCAACCACCCCCCTAAATATCCCCCCAATATCCCCTCACAGCCTACATTTCATTAATGCCCTACATATACCTACACAGCGTACATCTCATTAATCCCGCACTTATACCTACACAGCCTACATCTCATTATTCCCCCTCCTATACCTACACAGCATGCATTCTTCATGCAGTATTCTTCCTCAACCACCCCCCTAAATATCCCCCCAATATCCCCTCACAGCCTACATTTCATTAATGCCCTACATATACCTACACAGCGTACATCTCATTAATCCCGCACTTATACCTACACAGCCTACATCTCATTATTCCCCCTCCTATACCTACACAGCATGCATTCTTCATGCAGTATTCTTCCTCAACCACCCCCCTAAATATCCCCCCAATATCCCCTCACAGCCTACATTTCATTAATGCCCTACATATACCTACACAGCGTACATCTCATTAATCCCGCACTTATACCTACACAGCCTACATCTCATTATTCCCCCTCCTATACCTACACAGCATGCATTCTTCATGCAGTATTCTTCCTCAACCACCCCCCTAAATATCCCCCCAATATCCCCTCACAGCCTACATTTCATTAATGCCCTACATATACCTACACAGCGTACATCTCATTAATCCCGCACTTATACCTACACAGCCTACATCTCATTATTCCCCCTCCTATACCTACACAGCATGCATTCTTCATGCAGTATTCTTCCTCAACCACCCCCCTAAATATCCCCCCAATATCCCCTCACAGCCTACATTTCATTAATGCCCTACATATACCTACACAGCGTACATCTCATTAATCCCGCACTTATACCTACACAGCCTACATCTCATTATTCCCCCTCCTATACCTACACAGCATGCATTCTTCATGCAGTATTCTTCCTCAACCACCCCCCTAAATATCCCCCCAATATCCCCTCACAGCCTACATTTCATTAATGCCCTACATATACCTACACAGCGTACATCTCATTAATCCCGCACTTATACCTACACAGCCTACATCTCATTATTCCCCCTCCTATACCTACACAGCATGCATTCTTCATGCAGTATTCTTCCTCAACCACCCCCCTAAATATCCCCCCAATATCCCCTCACAGCCTACATTTCATTAATGCCCTACATATACCTACACAGCGTACATCTCATTAATCCCGCACTTATACCTACACAGCCTACATCTCATTATTCCCCCTCCTATACCTACACAGCATGCATTCTTCATGCAGTATTCTTCCTCAACCACCCCCCTAAATATCCCCCCAATATCCCCTCACAGCCTACATTTCATTAATGCCCTACATATACCTACACAGCGTACATCTCATTAATCCCGCACTTATACCTACACAGCCTACATCTCATTATTCCCCCTCCTATACCTACACAGCATGCATTCTTCATGCAGTATTCTTCCTCAACCACCCCCCTAAATATCCCCCCAATATCCCCTCACAGCCTACATTTCATTAATGCCCTACATATACCTACACAGCGTACATCTCATTAATCCCGCACTTATACCTACACAGCCTACATCTCATTATTCCCCCTCCTATACCTACACAGCATGCATTCTTCATGCAGTATTCTTCCTCAACCACCCCCCTAAATATCCCCCCAATATCCCCTCACAGCCTACATTTCATTAATGCCCTACATATACCTACACAGCGTACATCTCATTAATCCCGCACTTATACCTACACAGCCTACATCTCATTATTCCCCCTCCTATACCTACACAGCATGCATTCTTCATGCAGTATTCTTCCTCAACCACCCCCCTAAATATCCCCCCAATATCCCCTCACAGCCTACATTTCATTAATGCCCTACATATACCTACACAGCGTACATCTCATTAATCCCGCACTTATACCTACACAGCCTACATCTCATTATTCCCCCTCCTATACCTACACAGCATGCATTCTTCATGCAGTATTCTTCCTCAACCACCCCCCTAAATATCCCCCCAATATCCCCTCACAGCCTACATTTCATTAATGCCCTACATATACCTACACAGCGTACATCTCATTAATCCCGCACTTATACCTACACAGCCTACATCTCATTATTCCCCCTCCTATACCTACACAGCATGCATTCTTCATGCAGTATTCTTCCTCAACCACCCCCCTAAATATCCCCCCAATATCCCCTCACAGCCTACATTTCATTAATGCCCTACATATACCTACACAGCGTACATCTCATTAATCCCGCACTTATACCTACACAGCCTACATCTCATTATTCCCCCTCCTATACCTACACAGCATGCATTCTTCATGCAGTATTCTTCCTCAACCACCCCCCTAAATATCCCCCCAATATCCCCTCACAGCCTACATTTCATTAATGCCCTACATATACCTACACAGCGTACATCTCATTAATCCCGCACTTATACCTACACAGCCTACNGCGTGGATGTGTTTTTGGATGATAAAACTGCGTGTAAAGCTGCGTAGGTTGTCCACGTGAGCAAACTCCACGTGACAGGACTGGCTTTTTATAAACACTCTTAAGATTTCTGAAACCGGGAGCGATCTAAAAATAATAGAAATTACTTTGTGAAAGGAGGGATAAAGACGCTTACCCTTCATCCTCTCTTGTGACCTCTCATGAGAAAATGTTACTGTATCCGTTCGAACGGCTGAACGTACGGCAAGTGAACCAGCCTGCGAACAGGCTCCCAGCGAGGCCGGAAAAAAAATCCGGCGGGGACGGAAAAAAAAAAATAATCCGGCGAGCGAAGCGAGCAGTTAATTGCGAAAAGAAGAATTCCACAAAATGTGTTTCCCCTCGTCACCATTCCGCTCTCGGCTCTCCCCGGTCGCCCCTAGACCACACTTGGCTAGTTTGCACTAAACCCATTAACCCAACGGGAGCCTGTTCCCAGGCTACAAGTGAATGGATAATTTGAATAGCGATACTCAATTTACTTGTTTCAAGAAATCTTAGGACCACT